TCAAATAAGTCTTGTAACAAAATGGCTTAGGAATAATATTAAAACATAATGAAAACTTCATAAGCGTATGTCAGCAAAGAAGTGTAAATGTTGCATTAATTTATTTATTCAGTATTTTTAGAAAGGTGTAATAATTAAGAAAAATATATTTTTTTGATAGAACACTGAATTTCTTGATTTTTTTTTTTCTTTTATACTGGATGGAAGAAGGTTGAATGCTTTAGGTAAAGTATATATTAAACATCTATGAACAATATTTTTGTTGCAGTTGGGAATTCTTAAGTGATGGTTTGTAGTACTTCTGGTTGTATAGTTATGTGAAGGATGGTTTTGATATTGCTTGTATTTGTAGGCATATATACATAGGCTATGAAAATATAGAGATCTTATGTCACCAACGTCTTCATTATAAAGTCTGATAACGTTTTGTTTTCCTATATATTATTTTCAATATATAATTTTGAATGACATTTAGTTTTTGTAGAACATTTTTGTACATTCCTCCCCATACTAGAATACCATAACGAAAGAGTGATTCGGCCAGTGATTTGTAAATTAATAAAAGGAGATTTTTAGAGAGGATATCTCGTAGTTGTAATACGTAATAGTTTGAAATTATCTTATCTCCAACACAGACATCAATTCGTGAAGATAGACAACTGCAGCAACCACAGCACTATTCAGTATGGAGTACCCCAGGGAATAATTCTGAGACCACTTCTCTTTAATATTTACGTGGACGGTAAGTTTTTACTAAAAGCTAATGGGGATATCCTAGGTTTCGATGATGAGACAGCAATTTTTTACAAAGGTAATTCTTAGGAAGAACTTAGGGACATAGTTGCATCAGACTTTCATATAATCTGGAAATGGCTGAATCATAAATTACTCACAAATAATGTTGATAAAACACACTTCCTACCATTTTGCTGCAATAGGACAACTTCCCCTAACTTTGATAAAATTCAAGTTATCATTTCAACAGAACAGTTCTTTATCAAATCAAAATATTTGAGAGTACACATAGATATGCAACTCAAGTGGAACATTCATATCCAATCTCTATGCCAAAAACTGAGATTCATTATCCACAAGTTTAAAGTCCTGGCATCCTCACTACCACTAAAGCAAGTAAAACAATGTATCATGCCCTTGTAGAGAGCCATCTTCGATACGGATTATTAGTATGGGGTGGTGCCCTAAAAACTCATTTATATCCTATAGAAGTCCTCCAAAGACGGTTTTTAAAAATTATCCTAAAAAATGAACCTACTTTTCCATCTGATGCTCTCTATTTGAAATGTCATGCATTTGACGTCCACCAACTCTTTTTTCTGAAAATAAATATGTATNTTGCTGATGAAGAAATCGAACTGGGAAAACATCCAGAGCTCCGTGTATGCAAAAACTGTCAATCAATTTCAAAAAAGAACAAATAACTATGTTTCATTACGATACAAAGAAACTGTCTATTTTTATGAAATAATCAGATTTCACATATCGTCTGTATAACTTATATCAGATTGCCCCATATTGGATAGACATATGCCAAAAATTATATCAAAGGTAGTAAATTAGGGACACTGGTTTATCTTCAATTAACAATAAAGGTGGAGATCTAGTTCTGGTCAGTACACTAACTCCGTTTATTCTAAACATTCAGAAATGTGACCAAAATCATACAAGCTATCTAAAAATATTTCTTGATACATGCCAAATTATGAAATTTTCCATATATTACATTATTTGTTTTAAAAACTGATTGATTTCATGCAAGGTTTACATCAAGGAGAATAGTTTTATTGATAAGACTTTCATTATCATCCATTACAAATTTGAAGCATTTATCAAAATTATTATGAAAGCCTGTTACAATGTAATGATTTGACGATATTACTACATCTTCATAGTTTTCTAAAAAGGCTGTACTAGTAAAATTCATAGATCCAACTAACACATAGCCACCAGTTCTACTGTAATCTTTCACCATATATTTGTAATGCATGATGTTACTCAGGTTGGTTTTTTGTGGGATATATAGTTGTACATCCAATCCTGAAAAATAAATTGAGATGAAGCTAGAACTCTTGCTTTGCAAAACTCACCTCCTTTAATGCATTCCCTGATTTGTGGCAACATATTCTCAGAGTGCTCAAAATTAAGCAGAATTCTTACTTTAACACCTCTTTTCTGGGCATCAATCAGGGCTTGATAAATTTTTTTTATTGTTATCATCATAATTGCTACATCTAAAGTAAATTTGGCTGTATCTATAAAGTAAATTATGGGTTCATATAGCTTATCACACCAATTTTCATCTGTGATATCAGCAACTATTCTTTCTCTGTATGGAGGCCATCCATACATGCCTTTATTGCTACTATACATAACTACACAGTCATGTCTTTTAGAAAATAAAATTTCTTCATCATACTGGCGCTTTAGTGACTTATAGGTACAATAAAATGATTTCCATGTATAATACGGAATAATAATAAATGCTGCTGATGATAATATTGCAAATTTATATTCCAAAACGCTTCTTAGTTGCATTCTACTTATGCTGGCCTCAAATCTGTAATCTGATTGATGGTTAGATCACAGTATTTTGTATACAGAAATACTGTGGTTAGATACTGTTGTTTTGTGAGGTTATGGTTAACGGGCTAGTAGGGTTCTCAAATTCACCAAAGTCCACTATCGGACGGTTTAATGTATAGGTCTATGCTAAACGTTAGTGCGTTCATATTGGTGAGGCCAAGATGTATAAAAATATTGTAACGAATTAAAGAATTAACTGTCTTAAACAAATTTATTTTAACAATACTTCACCATCACAACTAATTTATTTACACCACTCAGTAACTAACGCTTAATTTATCTTCACCATTTGTTAACCGCTCGATTCGCTTTCTTGATACAGACTACTCTTCAGGACGATTAGCGACGTTTTTATATCGTCAACGAACGTTCCGGATCCCTCTGCAGATTTCGGGACCCATCCGGAGTTTTCGCGGTATGCGTCATACTGGGAACCGGTCAGGGCC